TGGTGAGGAAGCACATAGACGTCCTGTGTCTGGTTCAGCTTGCGCTGGTAGCCACGCTTCATAAGGGGGTTCATCCAGGTGTAGAAGAAGCGGGAGAGCCAGCTCTCACCATCCTCTGCCACTCTCTGCTGGTCAGGCACTGGGATCCCTGGCCCTGAGACGGGCTGGTCCTCTTGCCAGGAGCGATTGATGGAGAGGAAGTCTTGCCTGGCAGCAGTGGGGAAGAGGTAGCTGACCACGTAGGCAAGCAGAGAGGCCAGCTGCAGACACAGAATGGCGAACCTGGCGGAGGCACCGGGGCGGGCAGGGGCCCAAGCTGTCCCACTGTGGCAGTACCACAGCAGGGTGATGATGGAGGAAGGTAGGGGCAAGAGCGTGAGGAGAGCCAGGGCTGCAGGGCCCCTGGTAAAGCTGTGAATGGATCTGTGGAGCACGAGAAGAGCGAAGCCGTGCACCAGCCATGTGAGGGCAGCGGTGCCATTGGCCAGCACTTCCAGGTACACAGGGCCCAGCTCCTGCTGGGAAATGGTGGCTGGGATGGTGTCAGCAAGGAACAAGCCAGCAAGTATGAAGGAGGCAGCGATTCTCCACCCCCAGCTTGGCCTGCAAGGCACACCAGAGCCAGACCTTGAGGAGGAAAGAGCAGTGAAATAAATTACAGTTGGAATTCCACTACCTCTTGGTCAGTACTGTCCTTTCTTCCTCTCCTCTTCCCCATGTTTATACATCCACTCCTACTTAACCTTCTGGATACACCTCCCTAGATCTGTAACTTTTTCTGACTGTAAGCATTGCTAAACTACATCAGGTCAATATAGCCCACTCTTTGGTCAACACCAGAGATTTAGATGCTACCAAAGAAAAGCATTTCTTTACAGAAATTTGTTTGCAAACTATGATATTTTGTGGTCAAATCAGATTCCAATCCTTGAGGATTAATAGCAAGAAAAAGTATATTTAACCTCTTTAACAGAAATTTTGGATAATGAAATTCCCTGCATCACATATCTGATCCTTGATTTCTTTGTCTAGCAGATATTTTTTCTAGAAAAATTATTTTTATCACTGTGAGTTCCAGTGATGCTGTGCTTATAAGATCTATAATCTATTGCCTATCAAAATACTTCATTATCACTGGATTCTTTGTGGCCTTTCAGTATCAGTGAATGTTGTCATGTTTAGGAATTTCAGATGAGGGTAAACAGAAAAACAATTCTGCATTTCTCTAAACTCCTTATTGCCTTATATACAACTTCAATGCCACCTTGAATTTATATCCTCTATCAGAATACTCCAAGTTTCCTCAGTCCTCATTCACTGAAAAAGTTTTTAACTACTTTCTGTGATTTTATGTCCACAATCTCTTCTATTCTTTCTGCATTCCTTTCTGTACACTGAATTAAAATGGATGCTGACAAATATAATAGCATTATAATATTGTGTCCTTCCCTAAATACATATTCAGCACATGATAGGGAGATACAATTTCCAGGCTTTCCACCCCACCTCCAGTCCTGCATAGCAATCAAGAGCCAGAGGAGTCAGTTGTCATACCTCGGAGTGCCAAGGAAGCAGGCACTGACCACTGCAAGGATCGCATGAGGAATCACGCTTAGTGTCAGCTGGTTAAAGCAATGGCCAACGCTGCCACGAACCCACACAGGGAGTGGATCTTCTGGGCTAGTCCCACACAAGCTAGCCAGGATGTTCTCCATCCTTTGCTGGTAATTCAGTCTGAGAGACAGGATGTCCTAGGGTAAAGAAAAAGCAGCATGAGGTAAAAAACATAAGAACTACTACAGCCCCAGTCCAAGATGGAGTGACGAGTAATTAACAGAGCTAGAAGGAAGTTCCTGGGTCATAGTCCAAGCCCGGCTATTGTTCACTCACTATTATATAATCTACTTAAGAAAATTATCAAGGGCCAGGTGAAAATAAATTATCTTGTTTATTCCCTTAAGTCACCACGGGACTGCAATGCCCTGTGAGTTTGAAGCTTTCGTATTTCCAGGTTGAATTTTTTTTTTCCCATGGCAAGTTTATCCTCTATAAGTAGGATAAGGAAGTATTTTCCTGTCTATGGATTGGCATGAAAAATATTTTGAGCTGCTTAAACATTAACCTATTCATTGTATTTCCATGTTCACAACACTTCCCACCAAGGAACTCCTTGAGGCAGCGTGTAATATGAAACATCCCCCAGACGGCAGGGGAGGATGCGGGTGCCCATCCTGGAGCAGGCGGTACCCGAAAGCTACGGACTGGCGAGCCAGCCCCCTGTGTGTGCCGCCCCGCGGCCTGAAGCACACCTGGCAAGGCCTCGGCTTTACAGGAATTTCTGCTCGCACCAGCCCGTCCCATCTCCAGCCCGGGGCCGGCCGAGCACCGCACCGAGCTCGGCACAGCGGGGGCACGGCAGCACCACGGCAGCACCCCGGCACAGCGGCCCTCAGCACAGCAGCATCTAAGCACCGCAGCAAGCCGGTACAGCAGCACCCCGGCACAGAGGCCCTAGGAACCGCAGCAAGCCGACACAGCAGCACCCGGCACAGAGGCCCTAGACACCGCAGCAAGCCGACACAGCACCCCGGCACAGAGGCCCTAGGAACCGCAGCAAGCCGACACAGCAGCACCCGGCACAGAGGCCCTAGACACCGCAGCAAGCCGACACAGCACCCCGGCACAGCGGCCCTAGGCACGGCAGCAAGCCGGTACAGCAGCACCCCGGCACGGCAACAGCGCACTGAGCTCGAGCCGGTGCGGGGGCGGCGCTGCGGCCGCCACGTGCCCGGGCCGGGCGCGCCCCCCGCCGTCCCCGCCGCCCCCGGGCCCGGTACCTCGGCTCCCCGCGGCGCAGGCCCCGCCCCCTGGCGGCCCGGAGGACGCGGCGCAGCCCCGAGAGCAATCCAGGCCGGAGCAGCAGCCGAGCTGAGGGGCAAGAGCGAGCCAATGCAGCACGCACAGCCCGCTCAGTGTAACAACCTTCCGGTTAAAAAACATAAATTACCCAAACTAAAAGCTAGGCTCCAGCCATGAACGTGATTTCCCCCAGAATTCCTCTAGTTCTGTCCTGGTGATCATATCCCTCCCTTCCTTTTCCTAAGATTTTTGGCTCACAGCATCTGAACTGTTTGTACACTGTGAAAAACGCCAGTCACTTGGTTTTAGAATTTTAGAAGTTTAATAGTAATACAATGGTTATAAAAATGGTAATATAATTAGAGTAATAAAAATTTGGACAATTAGGATTTAGGACAATACAAGGCAATAAAAACAAAGCGTTAGGGAGAGTCCAGGGTACCTCTTTCTGGTCAAAATAAGCCCGAAAAAAGACACACGTTAACAGAGGATTAACCCTTAAAAACAACAGCCTCTTGCATATTTATACATCTCATACACGATGCATAAATTCCATTCAAACACAGGATTCTGTCTGGTCAGCGTCAACTTCTTCCTCTTAATCCTGACGTTATCTTCAGGGATGAGAGAGGCAGGAAGAAGTTCGTTTCTTCTGATAATGGAGCAATAAATTCTCTTTCTCTGAAAGATTTGTGTCCTGTGGTCCTGCTATCTTGGTGCAAGTACCTCATTCCTTTCTTTTTAAAAAGTATCTTACATAGCACAGTTTCTATTTTAACATTATATTATAACCTAAAATTATATTTAACAAACTACTTAAGAAAATTAATAGAGCATAACTTTCTACATAACACATATAATATTCATTTTAATATTTGCGAAGAACCAATCATAAAGTACACATTTTTCACACCCACCTGATGCACATTACAGACTTGCACTGTCACCGTGTCAACTAGCACAGGAATATTTATGGGCCACTGTGTTATCCAAACATCAACAGGTATAGCCCAGGCAGTGCTTTTACAGTATAAATTTACTTTTACAGGTACAGCATTCTTTGCTTGTAAGACAGAAGACTACAAGATGAAAATAACATTACTATAAGAGCACCTTGCCAATAACACACCAGTCTACTCACAGTGGCAGAGCTCTCCTGGCATAGCGAGAGGACCTGATGTTAACCTAACACAACCATCTGAATAACACAGGGTAAACAAATCCTCTCTGATTCACCTGTGTTGTGTTCAGTGACTGTCTGGAGCACAAACACACCCATGCATGCAAGCAGCACCCTCAAATGTGACACTCATTCTTTCCTATAAGAGTATGTTGCATTGGGGTGGGGGGCGTAAATGCACAACTTTCCAGATGAGAGAAAGCAAACTGGAGAGGACATCCAGCTCCATCTGCTCTGGACTATTATACAGTAACAGGAGGCTGCTGTAAATGTCACCACACTACCTAGCAATTTTAGCTGCTAGTGGTGATTTTTATAGCAGATGGTCTGAATGTTTCAACTGTACCAAACCCTTCCCAGTACTCTGTTGCCAGGGAAAATAAGCATATAACCACTACCGGTAGAAAACTTTACTTTCGACATGCAGCTCACCAGAGATACAAAAATCATTCTCTGAGCTTGGAGTGTTATCAGTGCAGTGCTGAGAAAGGAAAATATCAGTGACCTTCCAGAGAAAACAGAGCAATCTGGCTAAGGGAGTGTGGAACAGCAGCTAGGGGCAAAAGCTCAGTGGCCACGTTACTCTACTCTCTGATCACAGCTTCCTTGAAAGGAGCAGGAGGGTGCATTTTCTGCAAGGCTCTCTCTCCCCCTCCCTCGTTTAATCATCTTTTCTCACATGCCTGACATCAATCTTTGTGTGTCAAAGTTGCAAGACTGCCTTTACACGACCAAGCTACTCATACTGTACACTGTATTTGGCCAGCCCGCTCTTTTCCACAGTTCATCCAAAGGTTTCTACCCTAAACTTTCCTGAGGAGGCCTTGAGAGTAAGTTTTATGTCCTCTATGCTCAGGGAAGATTCCCTTCAATGAAAATGCTGTGAAAATAGCAAACTCTCAAAACAGCAAGTAGGGGTTGCGTGAAATTGAAGCACTGAACTGCACACAAGTGAAGCTGATTTCAGATTTCATGGTTCTGATGTCTTATTTATTTCCAAATGAAAACAAACAAACCCAGACAACTTAGAAATGTCCAAAACCAACCAAACAAATACCCTCAAGCTACCCACAACACCACCACTTTCCACGTCTTAATAAGATACCAGAGAAGTTCTTGGATATCAACAAAGAACAACCTTCTCCCCTGAGCTATTCACTCTCAGAGCTTTTCCATTCAGCCACTCTGTATTTTAGCATTCTCTTTTTTCATGTGCTGCATCCTGCTTGCTCATCTCTCCTAAACTCTTCAGGTTCAAAACCATAAACTTTATCACTTCACCTGAAGGATGGAAAACTTTCAGGTGCCACAGATTCCTTTTTGGTCCAGACAGCATTGCCTACATTCATGTGGGAAAACAAACACAAAGGCTATTAAAAAAGGAACTCCAGGAAAACACCAACTCACCCCAACTGATCTGAAATCACTTTGCCTATTCTGCATAAGTGCATTTAAATAGCGTCACAGCAAGAATTAAAGTAGACATTCCTCCTTTTGGCTATTTCTCCTGCTCCTGAATATTGCTGCCTACACCATCTACTGTTACATATCTGACAGATTTAAGATGTGCAGCCATGTGGAATGGTGGCTATATTGCATACAAAGCACCTTGGGCACTATAAACAATCATACACATGGCAATTATAAAAAAATCTAAGCATTCAAAATTGAAAAAAACCCCACCAACGTTAGGTTTAATTTAATCCACCCCCACAGGCCATGCAGGCCAGATTTTATTCACTATTATCCAGAGTTTGTTAATGCTCTAGATGGATAAATCCCCAGTGAGGAAGCACTATCTGGCAAAGGGAGACTGCCCCCCCCCCCACCCCTTTTCTGATGAGTTTGTTTTGTAACAGATTACTTAATACCAATCCCAGGACTCAGGGAATCAGTGTAGGCTGCATGCCCATTCCACTTCCCAGCTATAAGTAAATATTGAGCTGAAACAGAAGCCAGCCTAGACAAGCCTTAAATTCAGAAATATCAACCTTGTAATTATAGCTGTAAAATCTCTGAAAGCAATTGTCTATTTGGATGTGTTTTCTGTGCTCCCAGCCAGGACTCTGCTATCAGCTGAACCATCCTCAAATTCCATGACGACACAGCCGAGGAAGGTTTGATTCCTTGGCTCAGTCCAAAATTTTTCATGAACAGGCTGCTTTGCCTGGACCTGAAGGCACAAGATAGATATTATGCCCTGTTTTCCAGGGAAAAAAAAATCAATGCCAAGTTCAGAAGACAGATGAGTATCTTCTACTGCATCTCCTCATGAGAACATCAATTCTGTCATAGAAACACAGAAACTGTCTTTGTTGTTACTCACAGCCAAGCCATTCCACATTAGATGGTTGTCTCATGCCCCTGGATCTAGTCTTGACTCAGACAAGACAGTAAAAAAATTTAATTAGGGTATTACATTTTTCTCTTTTACTGGTCTGCTTCTTAACCTAATGATCCAACCTGGATTAACTTCAATTCTGATTTCTGTTTACTTGTTTATACAAAGCTACTTCTTGCTTTTCTTATTCTGTTCTTTCTGAATGCCATTTGCTCTCCTTTGTTATTTGGGGCCTAAGGAGAATTCAGAGATACCTTATTACCCCAACATTGACCTCAGCATCCAATTAGCTGAAACCTCTGCAAGCAGCAGCTAATTGCAAGTTCAACTATGAGCTTTGGAATTCCAAAGATGAGTTTGGGAGCTGAACTTCTACCAGAACACTCTGACTGGCACCTCTGTCACCCAGTGAGAGCCTAGAGCACCAATTGCAGGGATGTTACAAAAACCTCTGCAAAGCAGGTAAGGACCTTGCCTGACTTTTTCAATCCCTGAGACAAACTGCAGTGCTTCCTCTTCCTAAGATGTGAGAAGTCTCAATTTGCTCTGCACCACTGGGCCCAGATTTCAGTACTGATTTTAGGGATAATTTAACTGGATCCCAGTTATTTTTATCTGGGATAACTAGGGATGCTCAGTCCCTTTAAAAACGTAGCTTCATAAGGCATGTGGTTAAAAGATGATACTACATCTAGCTGAAAATTAGTTTATAAATTGCAATTATAAATTGTAATTGTAGGGCAATGCTCAGTGAGATGACAGGGTGCTAGAAAATGCTAATGACCACTGGTCAGTCTCCAACAAATTGAATGTTTCTCTTAGGAACTCTTAACATCATAACACACAGGGTGTTGGCTTTATATCTACCACTTCTCCCATGAGCAGTTTTCTTATTGGTGTGCAGATAAGACACTTTAAGAAACTTGCTCTGGAGTTTTTATTATCTGGATTCTTTCACCTTCCAAATGCCACTAAAATCTATGATCAGAAACCAGCAGAATACCTCCTGTAGACCTCCTTTGGCTGCAGGGCAAAAAAGTTGTAAAAAAAATTATTTTTGGCATTTTGCAAAGTTTTTAGGTATTAGATGCCCAACTATTATAGAAAACTGAATTTAAAAATGTTTTGCAGAGTTTCTTGGGTTTGTGGCTTTTTACTTGTCCATTTAAAAACCAAACTATAGTTAAAAACTGATGTAAATAAAGCAACAGCATGGAAGAGATGTCCAAAACCGAACAAGTAATTTTTCTCACTCTTTTTATCACACTCAGCTATTTTTAATTACTTCAGTTGGTCAAACTGAGTGCTTGATGCAGACACCTGACACTAAGGCATGAAAACATGTTCCTCCTTTGACTAAAGTAACAGAACATATTTGGGTAACAGTATATGCCTTACAGTGATAAGCTACTTGCATGTGATCTATCACAAAAAAATAGAGGGGAAGTTCCAAAATACACATCAGCTTTGTGGTTATGTCAAAGTGTTTTGCTTCTCTGGGTGTCACTGAGTCTGCTGCTTAGGGTGGTTAATTGGAACAGGCTGAACATCCATTGGTCCCACAGGAAGTAAATTCACAGTCTGCTGCACATCCTCAAAGATGAAGTTCTTATCCCACGAATTCTTAGTTGAATTAAGGTCGCTGATGAACACTGCAAGCCGTAGGACAGAAAGGTGAGAAGAGGACAATGGTAGCAGAAAATAAGTCTTTAAATAGCTCATGCTTATTTTGATGACTGAGTGCATTTCCTGAGTCTGGGTAGTGATGCACTCATTCAGAAAATCTTAAAGGGGGTCAGTTTTATTACAATTGTAGTAAACCACTCCCAGCAGAAATATCTTATCAGACAGATCACCATCCTGCTGCTCTTTGTTGCTACTACTTATAAATAGTATGCTTCAAAATGGTGTGATGTTTGAGCAAACACATTCCCAAACACACGAGCAGCATTTCAGCCAGAAATCAACTGGCTCTTCAAATAAAATCCCTCACATGTCATTCAGCTAAGAACAAATTACAAATCAAGATATAAAAGCTTGTGGATTTTGGAAATGAAGCTGAAGAATTTTAGGAGAACCTTCATTTCTCTGCTTTCACTTCTTTTGACCGCTCCCCATTTTAGTTAATTGAAACCCAAACCCCCTTCCCCTCTGGAGACAGCCGCAGAGCAGAGTAAGGGAAATGTTCCATCCGTGGCAGGAGAGCCGCAGCTGTCCCTGGCGCTGTTCCAGCCGCTGTCCCGCAGGAAGCGCGGCCGGTGCCCAGGTAGGGGAGGGAGGCGGCGGGAAGAAGCCATTTCCTCCCCTGCCATCCCTGCTCCCGGCAGCCCAGAGCACGGGAATTGGCTCAGGAGTTTGCTGAGCCGGAGGCTCAGCCTGATCGATCAGGCAAGGCTCGCTTTCCAACACACTCCTGCCTGAAGACAGCACCACCTGTACCGACCAGCTCCGCAGCACCGTGCGCGCGCGTAGGGGAGAGAACAAAACCCAACAAAAGCAAGTAAACAAACAACCGAAAAAAATCCCAAACAACAAAAAACCACCAAAGCCGAGCGTGCCCCAGTCACGGCCGCTGGGGCGCGGAGGGAGGCAAAGAGGAGCCGCACGGCCGAACACAGCGACA